TTTCCCTTTGGAATTTTGGGCATGCATACACATGTGCCCAGTGTTTATGTTTTTTTTCTTATTTTTTTTTAAGCAACTGAGTTCAGGACTTGAACCACTCACTCAGCCATGTAGGATCCAGCTGCCTTAACCACCACACCACTAGCTGGCCCTATCTTATAGTTATGATGTTAATATTTCCGTGCAAGGAAGGGATGCAACACTTTTTCAATGGCAAATAAAATCTGAGTGTAAAAGTGAAAGTTAGAAGCTTAGAAGGACAATTTCTATGAATTGTTTTGATATGTTCTTATCAACAAAATACGTGATAATTTGGGGGTCAGCCTAGGGCCTGGTGGTTAAGAGAGTTGGATCCCACATGGCCAACTAAACACAATGGCTTGAGAAACATGTTGCCTGTGTGTGTGTGTGCCCAAAATCCTGAAAGGAGGAAGACAAGGAGAAGGGATTGCAGCATGACCCTTCCTCCTGGGCTGTTTTCTCCCTCTCTGCTTTCTCTGGCCAGTGCACACACATTCTGCAAATTAAAAAAAAAAAAAAGTGATGACTTGGACACTGCACATTTGTGAAAGTACTCAGGTAAACCTTAGTAATTCGATAGACTGCTTGAAATTTAGTTTTCTGTCAGAAGAAATTATATACAGGGGAAATTCATAGATCTACAATCCACTTTTCCCACCAAAAGATCATTTAAATGGAGCTATGACTTAATAGGAGAAAATACTGAAACTGGCTACTGATTAAGCATTGAGGATGGACTTTGAAAATACAGCATCGCATGCTTTGTTTTGTAAAAATTACAAATAAAAATACTGAGTTTGTTGAAATTGCTTCAAAATTCCTTCTTTTATTTTCATCTACATACTGTGAGGGTTATTTTTTAAAAAAAGCATCAACACCATTTCTTTATATATTATCTTTGAACAGTTATGGCGTCATTAATAGTACTTAGTTCAGGCAATTTAACAAATAAGAAGAGCACTCGTTTGCATATTAAAATGTTTAAATACGGAGGCCAGCTGGTGTAGTGGTAGAGGCACTAGACTCCCAGGCGGCTGACTGAGGTTCAAGTCCCGTATATGGCAGCTTGAAACTCATGCTGGGCACATGTACGTATGTGCCTAAAACCCTGAGAGGAGAATGGAGGAGAAGAGATTGCAGTGGGCCATCCTCCCTGGGGCGGGGGCGTGGGGTGACTTATCATTTCCTGTCTCTCTGTCTCTCTGGTGAGTTCATGTGCCCTATAACAACAAAAAAATGATCTTTAAAAAAAGATCTTTAAATATTGATATATTCAAAGGATGCATACTGACATTTAATATGGAGAAAACCTATTTCACTTTAATAAATTTTATTTTATTTATGTTTTTTACTTCTTCATGATAGAGCACATACATGTGCCTGTGGAAGTGAGATACAGTGAGAGAGAGAGAGAGAGAGAGGAAGAGAGAGACAGATGAGTGCTCTCCTCAGGGTCAGGTCACACCGTGACCCATTTTCCCATGAAGCCATGTACTCCATGGAGCCCAGTGTGTTCAGGCTGAATGGGCTGGGGATGCGAACCCTGGTCACCACGTGGGATCCAGCTTCTCTGAAGCAGCTCATGGCTGCGTCACAGAGCTGGTCCTTTTTTTAAGTTTTGACTAAGAAACAAACACTAGGATACACAAGGGGATTTTAAAAAGATCTTGGAAAATGGAATTAAAGTATGAGTTTATTTGGGGGCAAAGAAATGAAATCCATGTATAGTTTTGTCATAATACACGTGAAGTTTTGAAGACCTTTCATAATGTTAAGCCACTATATCGATCCCCTTTATACACACTTTCGAATGAACAATGCGTGTAGGTTTTATAATTAATCTTTTTCCCTGGATTGGTCGGTAGTGTGATGGTTAAGACAAGTGGATCCGACATGGCCAACTGTGCAGTTCGGGTTCTGGACTTAGTGGTTTGAAAAATACATTGGGTGCGTGTGTATGTGTTCCCCAAATCCCAACAGCAGGGAAAATGAAGAAAGTATTGCAGAGTAAGCGTTCCTTGTGAGTGTGAGGGGGTACCTTGTCACTCTCTCTGTCTCTCTCTCTGTCTCTCTTTGTGGCCAGTGCATGCACCCCTCTGGGCAAAGGTAAAAAAAAAAAAAAAAAAAAAAAAAAAAACCAAAACAAAAATTCCCTTTATTATGTTTGTTCTGGGTATATCTGCTAAAATGTAATTTGATGTCTGTGAAATATAATAAACATTTTGGGCTGGTATTTTATGCGTGATTCTCATTTTACTTTTCTAGTAATTCATTTCTACTATACTTTATCAAAAAAATACAATCATTAATGGATTTCAGATTTTTTTTTTTTTTGGAGAGATTTTCGCTATAGGGCGCGTGCGCTCGCCAGACAGACAGAGACATAGAGACAGAAAGCGTCAAAAAATTGCAATCATTAATGGATTTCAGATTTAAAAAAAAACTCCACCACAGATATTTTGAGACGCTCTATTTTAAACAAGTTGCTAACATTTTTTTTTCTGTAAAGGGCCAGGGAGTAAACATTTTAGGTTTCATTTTAGGTTTCAGCTACTCAACTTAGGTGTCATAGCATGAACAGAGCCATAGCTAATATATGAATAAATGGGCAAGGCTGTGTTTTAAAAAATTATTTACAGACACGGAAATGGAAATTTCCTATAATTTTCATGGGTCACAAAATACTGGCTCGTTGGGAAAGTCATGACACATTTTTGCATAGAAAAATAAGTCATGACTTTCTGACAACCTTATACTATTTATTATTATTATTATTATTTTCCCACTTACAAATCATTCTCAGGGCCAGCAGGTGGCATGGTAGTTACAGTGCTGGATTCCCACATGGCCAACCACAGTTTGAGTCTCGGGCCTGGAAGACTGAAACTCATACAGGATGCATGTGCGTGCATGCTCGAAATCCTACGAGGAGGTTGGAGGATAAGGGATTGCAGCATGGCCATTCTCTTTGGGGGGTGCTTTCTTACTTTCTCTCTGTCTCTGTCTCTGTCTCTCTCTGGCCAATGCACACATCCTATGACAAAAACCTAAAACAAAAAGGAAAGGAGAAAACCATTCTCAGTTTCTGGGCTGATAGTTTGGTGATCTTGATTGAGACCATAGGGAAGGGACAGGTCCCCACCCAGATACTGATTAGCTCAGTGAGCCGCCAGTTCCAAATTATGTGTGGTGTTTTGCAATTAACCAAACATTTACTGAGCCCCTATGATGTGCCAGAGACACCAGGCCATCCTGGATTCAAACTGGTGGCATGATCAGTCGATCTATCCGAGCGTGTCTGGGAAGGCCCCTGGCTGAAGTCTTGTAAATTATGGGGACAGCGTGAGGTGGCTGTGTGTGTGGAAATATATGAGCCTCCTGGTGTTCCAAAGGCTTTCCAGAAGACTGGAGGGTGTGTGACTTCCATAATTAGGAAACCAGGGGTGATGTAAACACTAAAAAGGGAGTGCGGGGCATTTCCCTGAGGGTCCCGGGAAGGAGCTCTCGTGGGGACACTGCCAGATAGAATCTGAGGGACTTAGAGACTGAGCTGCTGGATGTGTGGTAGGTTTTACACCAGCAGGGTCCACTGTCTTCCTTCGTCAAATCTGCTATGTGACAATGAAGAAGCCAGCACTAGGCTCATCCCAGACTGAGAAGCGAGAGAACTGAAGCGATGCCTGGAGACTGGGGCTGGTGACGAGCCTGGTGCACACGAATGCTCATCTCCTTACACCAGCCTTTTTTATTATAGGAGTTGTTTGCGGGCAGATACAAGGCACCTCACAGAGTGTCTGCCCCACTACACGCTGAAGTCCCTGGACCTTGGGTGGTGCCTAGGAGCCTAGAGAGAAAGGCCGCAAGTCAGTGTCCCATCGACGGGCCTCTGACTACAGAGCTCCATGCTCCGGGCTCTGGGCCCTGCTCTGACAGTTTCCCGTGTGCCCTCCCTGGCGATCCTCTCCTCACCTGGATACAGCAGCAGTGGCAGTAGCAGCAGCAGTCCTGGGACCAGGGCTCTGCTGGCTATGTGGCCTCTCCCTGTGTGCTCAGAAGAGACATGGCCATAGACAGGAAATGGAATCAGAGCTGGCCCGATTCCTCCCGTCTGTCCCAGCACCTCTGAGATGGAAGAAATAAGACAGGGCAGGACTTGGGGCCAGGAAGGAGGAGACTGGGCCGGGAGAGGAAAGTGGGGGCCTCCAGCTGCAAGCCGGTAGGTCTCAGGCCTCTGTAGAAGATACCTGACCACCCCCTGGGTCCTACTGCCCCTTCTCTACCATGACCTGGCCCTGGGGGAGGAGCTGAGAAAGCCAGAAGGAAATGGTGGCCAGTCAGACCGCCTGCTCTTTTTCTCCCCACAGCCTCTGTGCACCATACTTTCTTATCAGGACCCTGGCTTTGTCCCCTTCTCATGGGAAACGCAGGTGAAGCTGTGTGGCAAGCCCAAGGACACTCAGGGCTCTGACCATAAGTCCTGAGCCCCACTGGTTTCAAAAGTGCCCAGAGAGGGACCAGTAGTTGGCATAATGGCTGTCGCTGGACTCCCACGTAGTTGACCACAGTTCGTGTCCCAGATTCAGTGGCTTAGAACTCACGCCGGGCACGTGTGCGTGCGTGCCCAAGATCCCGAGAGGAGAATGGAGGAGAAGGGATTGCAGCATAGCCATCCCCCTGGTGGATGATTTCTCGCAGGCACCGGAGGGGAGAGGAAGCAGGAGGGGCAGGGTTAGCAGGGGCAGGGGTGTCAGGTTTGTTCCTGCAAGGAGGTGTAGGGAGGGTCTCTGGTAGAGGTGCATGGAGGAGCACAGGAGGGCAGGCTGAGAGGGGATGCATCGATGGGGTGTGGAGAAGGCAGCAAGGAGCCCAGGCCTGAACTGCTCGCTGTGTCCTCAGTCCTGGCACCCTGGGCACTGGCCGCAGGAGGAATGTGTGAACAGCGGAATGACTCTAGCATCTCGTTCTTTAGGACTCTTTAGCTGAGAAAGCACCCACCAGGGGAAATGTCCGCACCACCCACCCTTCTCCAATCTCCTCTCAGGATTCTGGGCATGCACACACAGGTGCCCAGCATGGGTTTTGTGTGTGTGTGTGTGTGTTTATTTTTTCTTG